CCCCAAAACCCCAAAACCCCAAAACCCCAAAACCCCAAAACCCCGAATAGATAAAATCTTATTGAATTTGGGCTTAATATTTACGAGGCTTAGCTTCTTCAGGAGGCTTGTAGTCAGGATTCTTTTGGAGGATCACGAAGTTCTCAATTATTGGTGTCACTGGGAGGTATTCTTCAGTGCCAAATTCGCACCTGTCACCATAGTTGAGTAATACAGGAGATTTATGTGTCTGGAAACCTGTGATTGTCTTTGGCTGTCCTGGCATTCCTACTGTGTCTACTGCCTGTCCTACTCTAACATCTACTTTTAGTGGATTCAAGTCTTCATCAAGAGTGACCATCATTCTAGGATACATTGCCAAGACGAGGTAATAAAGCATTGTATGTAGTCTATTGAAGAAAAGTTTATCATGGTTTGTGCAAGTCAATAATACTCATAAGATTCCACTGAGAGCAACATTTGATTGTAAGATTCTATCAGAGTGCACTGGTTGTAAGTTAATCAATCCTTTACCAGTTGAGACCAATCCTTGTGAAATTCTAACCATCAATAGAATATCTGGATCCCTAGCATAATAACTAGCCAGTTGTCTCAAATTTCCAGCTAACCTTGAGTTATTAGTTCCTGCCCAGATTAGCCCTTGGGAGAGTACAGCATTGATGGCCAGCTGATTATCTCCATCATATGAGAGTTTTCCAAGAAGATCCATGATTTGGTTATTTTTACCAGCTGTTCCCATTCCTTGAGTCATGCAAAGCAAAGAAATAGTAAGTGGAACAGCTCTCTTAATTTCAGGATCTCCGTACTGTAAGAAATGATTCATGGTTCTCATTGCCATTTCAGAGCCAATATCCTCTCCAAAAGCAATGAGTCCAAGTGACAAAACTGCTGCTGATTGGAAATGATTTGTGTTCTTTTCCTCCTCTTCTTTAGCTTCACCCACGTCTTCTTCTTTCTTATCTTCTTCTTCTTTCTTGTCTTCTTTTTCTTCATGTTCAGCACAGATGTGAAGTAGTTCTTGAATTTGGAGAACATTTCCGGAACAGGCGTAAGCACATCCTTTCATGAAGATCTCCATGAATCTTCTGATTGGGTGTTCAATAGTGGAAATCATCATTAATGAGGCATCTACTACATCTTGCTTGCCAAAGAAAAGAAGACCAAGTCCGAGTGCATAATACCTAGCATGAGGATTATCAAGATCTTGAGGCTCTCTTTCCATACAGGTTTCAATAATGCAACTTGCTACTTCTTCATTACAGGATCCATTGAAAATAAGCCCAAGGACAAGAGCAGCGATACTTGAGACCTCTACTGAATTGTCTCCATCAAGGACAATTGGAGAAACCATCTCCATTATGTCATCTCTTGCTGAGCCAGCATAAGTGAAGGAAAGCCCCATTAAGGCTCCAATTTTCTTATACTCATTATCTGATTCGAGATGTTCACTCAGAATGGCAAAAACTGGATCACTTTCATTCCTGATTCCCGAATTGATAATTCCGACTGCCATATAGGCTCCTGCTTGGATGAGGTCATTAGTCGATTCCATGTATTTATCAATTTTGGAAAATCCTTCATCAGTGTCCCACAAATGAATAAGCCCAAGAGATGCTGCAGCTGCTGTCATTCCGCTATCTTTGTTCTTCCAGATCCATTCGTCATTATCAGTTGCTCCTGTGATGAGAGAATCAGTTCCGTAGCCAGCGTTCAGGAATCCATTGACATACGTGGCTGCCAAGTTTTCCTTCACTGAATCAATCTTTGCATCATTCTTCTTCTCCTCGAGATGGCTTTTAAAGATTTGCTCAGGAGTCTTTGGCTCTAAAGTATCTAAATCTCTAGCTAAGGATTTGAAATGCTCACTAAGGCCTTCATAGGAGATAATAGCCATCAGATCGTCGTCTTCAGTCTCGTAATTTGTTCTTTGCCTTCCGAGCATGAGGCAGAGTTGTTTAGTAACAACTGGGTCAGTGCAAGTTTCCATGACTTCCTTTACTTTGTCATCATCATTCATCTTTTGAGCCATTAGGAGAGCTTCAGGATATTTGGCTAACTTAAAGTATACCTTATAACTGGTTGTAAAAATAATATTCATCTCTTCTTGGTCAGCTGCATATGGAGCTAAATTCCTCAAGTATAAAGTCATTCTGGAATAATTATCCTCGTTACATAGATCAATGATCTTTTCAAGCTGCTCAACCTCTGTGAGAAGGTCAATCGCTTCCGTTTCTTCTTTATGCTTCACTAAGTGAGGAGCAATTATGTCAATCAAAAAGTTAAGGTCTTCTGTTGATTCTTCTTTTTCAAGTCTTTGATTATAGACAACTGAGATTTCTCCAGAGAGGGATCTGAGGTATTCATTTCCCCAATCTGTTACTGTCTTTTTCGTACCCTCCAGCAAGAATTTCAGACATTCGTTAGAATCCTTCTCAGACATTGTGATGGCAAGAACAGAGAGTAAATCTGCTACTTCTTTCTTAAAATCACCACTAAATTTAGTATTGTAAGCATCCTTGATAGCGTCGTAATGAGGCTTCATATATTTGAGTGGCTTAGGAACACTAGTCATCGAGCTGGTTGCAGTACTGACCTCCTTTTTAATTTCATCGAGTGCTTTCCTTGAAACTTCAAGATTAGGATCAAGAATTTTGTCTACAAAATGCTTGTATTTTTCCTTTTCCTCTGCATCAGCAGCATCCTCTTCCTATAAGAAAATGAGAATATGCCAAATTGGTTAAGTCTTACCTCTGTAGTTTGCTTGATTTTGAATTCGTCTTTCTTTTCTTCTTTCTTCGCTTGAGACATATCTAAACTTCTTAAATTTTTATAATTAAAACAATTTGGTTGATTTTGAATGGGGTTTTGGGGTTTTGGGGTTTTGGGGTTTTGGGGTTTTGGGGTTTTGGGGTTTTGGGG